CGTTCTCCCCGCTGCGCTTCAGGGAAGGTCAGCAGAGCCCGCGGCGCCGGCCAAACCGCACGCTTGGGTGTGCTCCGGTGCTGGGATGCTGAGACACGTCGTGCTGGGGAACCATCCCTGGGTGCAAGAGGACGGGCAGCCCCGGGCAGAGCGGGGCACGCCGTAGGGAGCCCTGCCACGCGGCGAGCAGGACTGATCTCCTCTCCCTCCGAGCTCATCCCCAGACTCCTGCTGCGGCCGGTGCAGAAAAACGAGTCAATTCTGCAGCATGCTCCATCCCAGCTGGTGGGCAGATGAGCATCTCGAGCAGATCTTCAGAGCTGATGCTGGCGGAGGTGGTGTCTTCATTCCTCTTGGAAATACCAAAATCCCAGGCTGGCTCCTCACCCGGGACGGTTGGGTGCAGCTGCCCCGGAGCCAACGCCGGCTCCGCGCCGAGGAGGCGTGGGGCAGCCCCACGGAGTCTGCGTGGCTGCGGAGCGAGGCGTTTGCTTTGCATGGAGTTCATAAGTTGTCATTTGGCAGCTGTTTTAATTAAAGACGGAGCAAGGAACTGCCCTGCTGCTTTGAGTAATTACGTGGGTTAATAATTTTGAGCTAAACAAGGCTCGCTGTTGTTCGCCAGGTTTTCAAGGATCTGGAATTCGGTCTATGAGTCTTGGCCAGTTCCTTGGCCTTCTTCTCGTCCCTGGAGTCTTTGTCTCCCTTGGCGTTGCCCTGACCCTGTCCCTGTGCCCACGCAGCACCGAAGCCCGTTTGCCCCCCGTCCCCCGAAGCCCCGCAGCTCCGAGCGATGCCACTCTCTCCTTGTCCCGTTGCAGGTGGTGCGAGACCAGATTTCTCACTGCACGGTCAAGCTGCGCCAGACGACGGGCCTGATGGAGTACTGCCTGGAGGTCATCAAGGAGAACGACCCCAGCGGCTTCCTGCAGGTCGGTGGGGAGCTGCCCACCTCTGGGCTGCGAGCGGAGCGGGAGGGGGCTTGCACAGCCGAGGGCCTGGGGGTGACATAGCTGAGTCCAGGGATGACGTCCCCAGCTTTTCCAGCTATAGAATCCAGGGCCAGCCTCTCATCGCCTCCAGGTTGGTAGAAGGACAGAAGCAGAAGCAGGCCAGGGACGTTTCTGACTCTGAGCGGAGGGTCGCAGCAGGCTGTGGTGTATCTCTGGAGCAGCGTGCTGTCTCGTGGCTCCAGCTGGAGAAGGACACACAGCCCTTGAGAACTGCATCCCACCGTTCATTCCTGGGCTGCTGCCTTTTGGTGCTAGACCCTGCCTTTAAAATAGTCCCCAGGTATCACAGAATCACAGAATGGCAGGGGCTGGCAGGGCCCTCTGTGGGTCACCCAGCCCAACCCCCTGCCCAAGCAGGGTCACCCACAGCAGGCTGCACAGCACCGCGGCC